GGCGTCCTCGGCTTCCGGACTTCGACGCATTTTGAACCGAATTGCATGTCGAATTTCGGAAAACCGACGCTCGGCAGTTTGAGTTTCGGAAAACCGACGCTCGGCAGTTCGAGTTTGGTGTGAGCGCCCAAGCAGCGACGGCGACCAACAAACTGGTCGCACACCGGGTCAAGACCCATTTCCAACTGTGGCAGCCAGTTTCACGGTCCTTGGAGCTTTGGAACCCCGCGATGTCACGTGAAGTAATTGGGCAATTTTGCCATCACCTGGAAAAATGGAAAAATGGATTTGCGCGTGATTGCACCACGTGCAGCGTCGGAAACGACTTGAACGTGGCTCAAAAAGGGTGTGGAGATGTATACACGGCCGCTACGTGGCGCTGGCGCGTCTGTGGGCTGCTACTCGTCGTTGTGCTGAATCGTGCGCACACTATTTAAGACGAGGTCGTGCGTGAGCTGATATCCGGAGTTTGTCCGGATACGGATTCCACGTGCTGGAGTGGCATCGGTCCTCAACGTCGTAGACCCAAGCATTCGCATGCTGCAAGAGACTGCAGTGGTCGTTGCAAGCGCTTGGCTGGTAAACCAATGTCTTGAATTGAAGCGATGAGTGACGAAAAAAGGACCTAGGCCACACGAGTTTCACCGTCCACAGTCGACGGGACGCCTGCGACCGCCCTACCGTGCGATGCGGTGCCGTGCGACCGAGGCCCCGGAGCGCGAATTGCAGAATGAGCAGCGCTCAAGGTTTTTCCGATTATCTTGTAAAAGCACTGCGTTTCGCCTTTGCCATGCTCGTTTTTACACTTGTTTTTACACGACTGAACGTTTGCGCGGAAATGGGACCTTTTCTGAGTGCCACGTCATACAGGGAAATGTGTTTATCTTACACTATTTAAGGCGATGATTTTGCAATGAATTGATTGAAATAGAACTGCATTTTCGAAACCACACTCTATGCGCGGAGCCACAACACTGGGATCGTTTCAGTGGCCAAGGACACGTCTAGCTAGAATTATGAAGGCTCAAAGTGCCATGTATTGGCTCGCGTTGAATATCTCGATGGATTTTGTTGGAATAAAACAGCAATTGTTGGCGAGTGTCAAAACAAATACTTGCAGGCCTTTGATTGCCACGCACGTTAGCATTACAGCCTCTCTAGAGCTGGAGAAAGCGCCCCTGAAAATATCTCAGCGATTTGTTGAATGCCAGGGCGTTTGTACCTCTGCAATGGTCGGCGGTGGTGTGTGCGATAGCCAATGGGCTCCTGTCGCTTGCATTCAGGGACGGCAAAAGGCAAAAAAAACCGCCACGTACTGCCACGAAGAGCGGCAGAGCCAGGTGCCGCTATTTTCCTCTCGCAGATATTGTGCTTGACCATGATGAGGTTTGACATTGTTCGGATAAAACCCCATCGTTCAGATAGAACGCCACATCTCTGTGCATTCAAACGAAGCTCACAGCGCATAAACGATGGGCTTGACCGCATCGGCCCGTCTGCTGCTATGTGTCCGCCAACGTCTTTATGGCTATTGTCCAGTGCTCGGTCTCGGTCCATATCTTTATTTGCCCTGCCGGGCTCGAAGAGAAAGAATTTACGAGGAGGCGTTCATTCACGGCGTTCCGTGGTAAGAAGAACAGTCCTGTAATTCGGTTCGTTACAGATCGTGCAGCGCAGCACGCCAAACGGGATGTTACAGTCTTCTATGAGCCACCCAATGGCCAAGATTTGAGGCAGCGTTGGCGATCGAGGCCACAGCGTCTCCAATCTTAATTTCGGTATTACTATAAATACCAAATATAGCCACATTCGAACGCCAAACGCTCGGTGAAGCGAGAGTTGGAGCACAATTCATGATTGAAAACGAAAGCGCTCATACTTGGCTTGGTAATAGAGGACACTTTGGAGAGTACGAAACGCTATATGTCGTCACTGTTCGAGCTCTGCAGCGAGAGCTCTTGGCGATATATTTATCATACTATTTGAAGCCAATATTTCCCGGTATAGTGTATGAATATAAATAGTATATTAAAATGCTTGCGGCGCCGTAGCGGACTTTAGAACCACCGTCGTCAATGTAACATGCTCTCCGATACCATATAAGAGTGATAGCGCTCTCGGAGTTTGCGAAAATTCAACATTTTTACTCGAATTTTTATGTACAAGTCGGCGAAAAACGACGCTCGGCAGTACGACTTTGCTGTGAGAGCCCAAGGCCTACCACGGCCCAAGCGCAAGTCGCCGGGCCACTCCATATACATAGCCAACTGTGGCTGCCCGCGTCGGAGTCGGTCGAGTTTTCGAACTGCGCGAAAACACGTTGTGCATCTGGGCGTTTATTTGACCGCCTCGAAAAATCAACGTTGGAATTCGCATGCATGCGCTGCGTTCGACGTCCAAACCTTCATCTCCATGATACAAGGATGCTATAGAACGACAGGAACCGGTGCAGCCTCGCGTTAACGCGTCTGTGCGGCGTCGATCGTTGTAGTAGTGATCAATCGCACACTATTTAAAATCTATCAGTCTGATATACTGTTATGTATATCGATAACGGATGTATGTCTGTGAGTATCGAACTTTCAATTCAGGCCTTATCGTCCCCAACAGCTTAAAATTCGTTACCAAAAAACAGTATGTACAA